GGGGGCGCGCGCGGGGGGCGGGGGGCAGCCCTACCCGCAGCTCAGGCTCCTCGAAGTAGTGCAGACTCAGGGTCTTCAGATCGTGCGTGCCGGGGTCGTACTCCACCACCGAGAGCTGGGCGGGGACAGGCCGTCCAGCACCGCCCGGGCCCAGCCGCGCCCCAGCGCCACCCACCCGCCCGGCCATGCCACCTTGGCATCCTTGAAGCTCAGGAGCAGCGCGTCCCTCTTGGCTCCTGCCAGCTGCACACTGGCCATGGACATGACATTGCCGAAGAAGGAGAAGGAGGCCACCAGCTCCAGCTTCTCGCGGTGGGGCCGGCCCTCTGGGGAGACGGCAGTGGGTGCGGGCGCGTCCCACCCGGCCCAGCCACGCCCAGGCGGCCCCTGACTCACCTGTGCTCCTGTCCGTCCTGGTCGGTGCCTGGCGGGGGGAGGGCGGTCAGCCACATGGGGGCTGGGGGAGGTAGCCCCCGGCAGCCCGGGCCCGTGCAGAGAACGCGGGCCCACGTAGCCCCGGGGCCCCAGGACAGTCCTCGCTGCCCACCCCCAAACCTGTCTGGCTGTGCCCCCGGAATCACCCCACCCAGGGCCCCACCAGCGGGGCTGGGGCAGGGGCGTGAGGCCTCCGGGCGCCCTGCAGCCTGCAGCCCCCGCTCCTGGTGCCCCCAACCACCAGTTCTGATTAGGCCAAAGTCCCACTTGCATCAGGGGCACCTCGAGCGGGATCTGGCTCTGCGCCAGGGAAACGCCCAGAGGCAGATTTGCCAAAAGTCTTGAAGTCAATGACCGCTTTCAGCAGCACCAAACAACCTAAGGCTCTGGTTGGGCTGACAGCTGTCAGGAGGAGAGCAGGTGGGGTCGCCCCAAGCCCTCAGATGCCTCAGGGACCTTCCCGCCAGCGGGCCGCGCCGGCCCCAGGCCTGCCCGGGTCTGGCACAGGCTGAGCGGGCCTTGGCCTACAGGGTCTGAGACACGCGACACTCCAGATGCCTCAATGAGGCTTTCTGATTTTTTAAGCTTTGCTTATTTATGCACGCCAGAGCTGGGGTGCAGGCCAGGGGCCGCGAGGTGAGAGGACTCCCAGAGACCAAGTGGGGAGCTGAACAGGCGGGTCCACTGAGACGCACTGCCCTGGGGGACCCTCCCCGGCCGGATGGGCTCAGGCCGCTGCCGACAGCCTCCTAGTGCTGACTCCCCCCTGCGCCCCAGGGAGGCCCTGAACAAGACACTGTGAGACAGACTGGAGGACAGGGTCCCCCTGGACTGGCTCACTGTCCGCGTCCCGGCAGGCTGCGCACCCAGGGACACCCACATGCAGACCCCAGCCTGCCACCAGTCCCGCTGCCCAGCCTCCAGGCCCAGCGTTCGCACCTGGGGTGCTGGGCTGGGGGCGCCTGTGGCCTCTGTGGGCCTCAAGCACTGGAAGAGGCAAAGGAACTCCCTCCTGACCCAGAAGCCTGACACCCCCGTCGGCAGCGGCGGCCACAGCGAGGCAGAGACACAGCGACAGCAAAAAGGAGCCGGGGTGGGCGCCACTGCCAGGCGCGGAGGGCAGGACTCGCCCCCTCAGTAACCCCGGCGCCCCAACCAGGTGCAAGCCTCTCAGAAGAACGAGGACCTAACTCTGGCTGCGGGCGCCCTACGTGACAGGACGCGCCCTGACCAGTGGCCACAATGAACCCTGGGCCTCCTGGGGCTCAGGGTCGCGCCCCGAGCTATCGAGCGGTGGCCAGCCGCCTGAGACCATCCCACCAGGCGCTGACCCCCAGGGCACAGCAGGCCCCTCGTGCGCGCCGCTGCCCTCAGCGCCGGGCCTCGGGGGACCCGCCTGCTGTGCTCCCCGCTCCTTCTCCGGGCGTCCTCACCCTCCGGGTCCCAGTGGGCACGAGTGAAAACAAAAACCTCCAACCCACAGGCCGCTGGCTCGGAGCCGGGGCACCGGCTGGCCCTCGAGGGCCTGGCCTTCCCTGCGCGGCCAGCAAGAGCAGCCTGGGAGGCGGCCGGCAGGCCGGGCCAGCTGGGTGCAGACCGCTCTGGCATGGAGGCCGCCGCCGCAGCCGGGCTCTGCTCTGTGCTGGGTGTTTCCTCGGTTCCCCCGCGCGCTGCCGGCTGTCCCGCTCTGGGCCGCAAAGCCCGCGCGCGTTCCACGCGGCCGCGGC